CAGTTAAGTTATTTGGGTAACTTACAGTAACTCAACTATTAAATTTACCCAATATATTCAAAGAAACGCAAAATTTAGCCATGTAATTGTTTCTAATTATATCTTAAATGTTGTTAACACATAATATAAGTTTCTAACTAAAAACTATTTTAACAAGAAATCTTGAATAGAATATAAAAAAGTAATACCATTTTTTTATATTTTATTTAAAGAAATCTATTAGAACAAAAGAATTTTAGTCTTCTAAAATTCTCTTATTCAAATAATTTTTCAATTGAAATTTGAAAAATTGTTTGGATCCTTCTGCCTTACAAGCTAATCAAATTATATCTATAAAATAACTAATAAATTCCAACACTCAAACTTTCAACCACTAATAATTTAAATCTCTTTTTTTGAATTTTTCCCTCTATTCATTAAATTTTTCCCCCTATTCATTAAATACACATCTTTTAAAACTCAAAACCAACAATATTAAAAGCACACTGCTTACAAACACTATAAACAATAGAGTTTGCTTCAATTTCACTTAATTACTTTCCAGAATTTTCTGTTTGCTCATTCTTGATTTTGCAATTCATAACTCATAAGTAGTAAAACTTAGTAAAAATACTTAATAAAACTATTCCTCAAAAACTTTTCTTGAACTTCTCTAACAATAAATATTACAACTATTTTTCCTTTTCCATGCCTAAAACTAATCTGTATATTGCATAGATGAATATTTGACTTTAATTATATAAAGCTGATGTAACTATTATAAAACTATTATTTTACGCAAAATAAAACTTAAAAATATAAATGAAGACATTGCAAGAGCTATATTGCTTTAAGCGTAAATATTTTTCATAATTAGTTAAATAAAAAACTTCGATGGTTTTAACTCTGTTATTAATTTTTCAACACAATATATCAAGGGAGTTTAGATCCCTTGTTATCTAAAATATTTATACTTGATAATGTTATCAAGTATATTTATTTTTGGTAACAAGGGTATAGGTAAGGTAATATTATTTTGAAAAATTAATAATAGTATTATATTCATAAAAGTTTTTTATTTAATTATAAAAAAATAAACTCTTTATAAGATATCATTTAAAGTTTGTAAAAAATGCTTTTTTCATTTTTTTTTGATAAAATCAATCATAACAAAACAAACTAACAAAAAAAGTAAAATATAATTTATATTAGCGCTAACATAAAATAAAATTTAGTGTGTACTATTTTTTTAGCTAATAAATTTTTGTTTTTTATTTTTATTATTTCAGTAATTTTTTTTATTTATTGTTTGTTATGAGAAATTGTCTAAATATTTTTGCAAGATGATAAAGTTTTTTTTATTATATTTTTTTTATGATTTCTTTTTTTATGTCATATAACTTTTTTTTTTTTCTTTCACACAACCTTTTTGATGGAAAAGTTAGGTTAATAAAAATAAAATTTTCTTTGTTTTTTCTTATCTTATTACATTTGTAAATAATTTCAAAATGTTAATGCTAATTTCAAATGTAATTTTCATTCAAACTTTTTTACATAATTGTCATTCAAACTTCCTATGTGGTTTTTATAAAGTTAGTTACGTTTTTTATCTTGTTCAAATATTAAAAAATGATAAAAAGTTGCCCAATTGCCCACAAATGGCTTACTGCTTATGTTAAATATTTCAATGCGTATATAAATGACTGCAATTTTATGCTTTAAACCAAGGCCTGAGTTTATGTAAAGACCATTAAATTTAATTGATGAAATTAATTAAATTTGATCCTTTTTTAAAAGGCCGCAAAAGTGCAAATAATAGACTTATATGTTTTTAAAAACTTGCAGAATTTTTTATTTTTTCTACTGTTTACATTCATCAACTGGAAAATAGGTAGAACATGCGAGGAGTGTTGTTACATTGATAAAATGTAAACTTGATGTTTTTTAAAAAACATAATGTTTACATTTTATGGTAAAATTAAAGACGATCAAGCTAGAGTATATATATATATATATATATATATATATATATATATATATATATATATATATATATATATATATATATATATATATATATATATATATATATATATATATATATATATATATATATATTTTCATGTCTGCATTCAGAAATCAATTCAGATTTTTTGTTTAGTAAATTCTCTTGATCTAAATAATTTCAAATTTTTCTTGTAAACATAGTTACCTTTTTTGGAAATGTTATTAAAGGCAGTTTTTAGAATAGACCAGTTTAATTTAAAGTTAATATTTTTTTCTTTAAGTTGCCAAATATATTTTGACAGCATAGTCTCTTTTGAGTATTTTATATGTTTAAAAGATTGTTTGCGGTTAGCATAACATTTTTTATCTAACCCATCACACACGGTAACCATAAACCCTTACAGATTTTAATTCAAAACCAATACTGCTATTACTACAAATGATTAAGAAACATTTGTACAGAAATATTTATGTATAATTATAATGGTATCGAAAAGTTTATATTAGTGATGTGCCTGGTACTCGGTTTAGACCCGAGGATTTGGTAATTCTGCTGTTTTACCGGGTACCTGGACTCAGCGATCATGTTGCAGTACCCGGCACCAGATTTCTAAAAAGAATTTTTGTTATAAAAATTGACCTTAAGTGCTGTAACTATTTGTTTAAGTGGTACTTTAAATTGTGTTAAAATATTGTTAACAGGATTGCTTTTAGTTTAAACTTCAACTGGTAGATTTCATGATATAAGTCTAAGAGTGGTATGGATTTAATAACCACAAAGCCCTATTTAGTCAATATAAATGCATCTCACTTAAAATATTTTTTAAAATATATTTTTGCAAAACAATCAGAATATATTGCAAAAAGGAAACTGATTTATACAGATATTAATAGCTTCTTTTTATTGTGTGAGAGAATTTTTTCACAAGAGAATTTTTCAAAGTTTAATCCAACTTTTTAATATGGACCCGGTGTCAGGTAACCAGACTTAGTATTTTCTACTCGGAATCAGGGACTCAGCATAAATTGGTTCCGGCACATCTTTAGTCTACATCTTCATAAGCAGTATTGGTGATACATCTCCCACTTAACATTTTAACTAAGTAGTCCAAATACATTACTATGGTATGCTACAAAATTCATTACTATGCTATGCAATTTTGAATAATTACTTATAAATGAAATAAAATTTATAAAGTCAAAAGGTTTTGTCTGACGCTAAAGCCCGCTATTCTCAGGTCATAAAATCTCGTATTTCATCAAAAATTAGGCTTTTGTGACTTCTGGAGAATCTTTAACAGTATCTATAATAAGGGCAAATCTGTTATTCTACCTCTCATGTATGGTTTAGATTTTGTCACTTCGTCTAAAGACAAGGCTGAATTGTTTGTTAAGAACTTCTACTGCTGATTTGTTAACGGTAATAACTAATAGGATTTATCATGCATTAGATAGATGTAAAGAGGCTAAGGCTATCACTCTCAACATTTCTAAAGCCTTTGATAAATTTTCTTCTTACGGTGTATCAAGTAACATCTTTATGATTATTGAATCCTTCCTTACCAATTGTAGTATAAACATTGTCCTCGACGGACAGTACTCTTCTTCATATCCTGTCGCTTCAGGGGTTCTTTAAGGTTCTATCTTTGGCCCTATACTCTTTTTAATTTACATTAATGATCTTCCAAATATTCTCACTTCTAAGGTTGCACTGTTTGCTGATGATACTACCATTTATTCTTGTCTTGATAAGAAGCCAACATGCTCTGATTGCTTGCAGGGGGCATTTGAGCTTGAGAAGGATCTCACTTCTGCTACAGCATATGGCTCTCAGTGGCTGGTGAGCTTTAACTCATATAAAACTCAATTTTTTTCAGCTAATCATTATCACCATAATCTAGATCTTCTTATATTTATGAATGGTAATGTACTTGATAAGTCATTTACCCTTCATCTTCTAGGATTAACTCTTGCTTTGGATCTTTCTTGGAAACCATATATCAAATTTGTTTCAAAATTAGCATCTGCTAAGGTTGCTTCTCTTTATGGTGCTTGCCGCTTTTTTACTCAGAATTCTATTATCTTTATAAATTTTAAATCCGTCCTTGTACTGTTGCCATATCTGGGGGGATCTTCCAATCAGTCTTATCTCTTTTAAGCAAGGTGCAAAAATCCATTGTAAACATAGTTGCCCCTGCTCTTTAAGCTAACCTCTGACCATTATTACATCCTTGTAATGTTGCTTCTATTTCTCTTTTCTATAAATATTATAAATGGCACTGCTTTAAAGAGCTAGTGTCTCTTGTGCTATCCATTATAATTTATTTTTGTGTTACTAATCATTCACTTAAGTGTCATCCTTTTATTGTGATTGTTCTTAAGTGCTCTGAAAATTCTTATTGCTTCAATTTTTCCTCTAAAATCATATCTTTGGAATTTGCCTGCTTTGCAATTTTTTAATTCATCTGTCAATCGTTATCTTGCTCTATAAACTTCATCTTTTTTCTTCCAGTAACTTCCAACTCTAATAGTGATTGTTGCAGCCTTGTTGGAAGTGAAGATGTCAAAACATATATATATATATATATATATATATATATATATATATATATATATATATATATATATATATGTATGTATATATATATATATATATATATGTATGTATATATATATATATATATATATATATATTATATATATATATATATATATATATATATATATTTATATATATATATATATATATATATATATATATATATATTTATATATATATATATATATATATATATATATATATATATATATATATATATATATATATATATATATATATATATATATATATATATATATATAATATTGGCTAGACTCACATCCTTATATTTAAAATAGTATAATATAATAATAATATTTGAAATAAAAAATATATATCACATACATGTTCACATCCAAATGTTTAGATTAATAAATGAAACTTGTTAAGCACTTGTAATTAATTTTTTTTCTAGCATAACAGAAAATATTCATGAGGATGTTTTTCTGCCAATACTTTATGTTGATGAGGTTTGCAATTTTACTTTCATCATTTAATAAAATCATTCTTTAATCTTAAATTATTTCTTTATTTTATGAATGATTTATTTTCTTTAAATTATTTTTTTTCCTTTATTTTTATCAATATAAATAAATACTTTTTGGAAAATGTAAGTGGATGTGTTTGGCAAAGGTAGGCAATAAAATTAAACAGACACAAAGTAAGAAGTCTGTTACAATTAAATCAGCTGCTTTAGAAATCAGATGCTGAATCATGTATGATATGCATGGATTAGATGTTGTGTCAGCTTTTCTAATGCAATTATTGTTGATGTTTAGTTTCATGTTGATTACTGTTTTTTTCTGTAAATGTTTTCGTTGCAGAACAACAATGCTGTCAGAGGATGTGAGTGTAAAAGTCTTTAAGTATTTAAAATAGAAGTTGAAAAAGCCTTCAATTGCACAAATTATTGTTACAATATTATTGTAGTAAACAAAAAAAATTTTATTGTAGTTAATACAAGATTTCATTGTAGTTGACACAAAATTTTATTGTAGTTAACACAAGATTTTATTGTAGTTAACAAAATGTTTTATTGTAGTTAACACAACATTACATTGTAGTAATCAAAAGGTTTTGGTTAGTAACTTTACCTATTACTCACATAATAAGCTTTTTAATTTTCTTTTTTTTGTTATGTGTTATTTTTAAAATAATTTATTGGGTTGGGAAATAAGTTTATGGCGTTTTTATATTTTCTTTTTGTTTTACAATGATTTTTTTGCTGTTTGAAAAACATTTTCAATGTATATGAAGACGTCATGAGTACAGTCACCGAGACAAAACCATACTCCTTCACAAACTCAGTCAACAAGGCCAAATCATACTCCTTCACCACAATGCCATGCCCCATGTTGCACAAGTCATCAAAGCTTCACTCCTTGAATGTGAGATCAACATCCACCTTATTCTCCTTACCTTACAACTTTTCTACTTTCTGTCGAATCATATGAGATGCGTTATCTTCGACAATAAAGAATATCTTAAAAACTGGCTCAACAACTTCTTCTATACCAGATCGGGCAATTTTTGGAGGAACAGCATGGAAAAATTGGTTGAGAGGTGGGAAAAAGTTGTAAACAGCAACGGTTAATACATAATCAACCTTAATTGAAAAAATTCAATCAATAGTTTCAAATTAAAGTATTAGCTCAAATTATTTTTTTTCAACACTATATTATTTTTAAATGTGTTAAATTTTCAGTGAAATGAAAGTCAATAAATTTGTTTGATTTGGTTGTTCTAATTTTTTTACAGTATTCTTTTTTTGATGAATTCATTATGTTTTGAATGATAGGTAGTTTAAAAAACAAGAAATTTGTAAGTTTTTCAACTGTGAGTAATTGATATTAGCTTTGATTGGATTAGAGCTATGATTTTTTTCAACAATGAAAATTTGGTCAACAGGATACAAATTGCATTTGTGAACTTGTTAATGTCATTACTAATAAACCAATTCCAAAAGGTAAAATATTTTAGAAATGCAAATTATATATAAATAAAAATTATGTTTTTTACTGTTGCCCATAAGATATTAGGGTTAGGACAGTAAACATGCCACTTTTTGCACCTGGTTAGAATGTTTGAAGTATATGTATTTATTAACTCTTGTGAACTTGAATTATAAATTTAAAAAAAAATAAAAACATTAGTTACTCAAAACTTGACATTTATTATTATGTGAAACAGTTGTTTTATTTTTAGGTATTTTTTGAAAAATAAGTATTTAGGGGTACCTCACAAAGTTCAAAGATATAAAATATGTATGTATTTATACATGTACAAGAATCTATGCAAAATATTTAAAAATTAAAATAGAGTTCGAAATTGCATCTAATATAACATAATACTGCTAATAATTCTGCCTTAAAACAAGTTAACAGATGAAAACAAGATTATTTACAGTTAAATTGTTTAATTTGACATATATCAAACAATGAATAAACACAATTAATAAAAATTCAAATGGCCATCAATGTAAAAAATTTGAAAACATAAATTTATAACTAAAATTTAATTTAGTTATTTATTCAGGATCTTTGAGTAAAAGTCTATGAGGGATACTTAATGTCAAAGAAATATCCGGCTGAGTGATAAATGAATGGTTTAGCAATCTTTTCTTTAATATCACCAATTCTCCATGTTGTTTTTTTTTTAAGAAAAATTACATTACCTTTAACATTTTTCAACCATAATTCTCTTTTTAGCTGAAAGTTGTGAATTAAAAGATGAGAGACCAATCAATTTTTCCATTTTATACCAAAGATGTCATAGAAGATTCTGTATGGTTACCCCTGCAGTTTTAATAATTTTGGAAAACTTCACAAGCCTTCCCAGAAATAATATGATCATTCATTGGTGCATTATACTTTACTGTGGTTAAAGCTGATGAAAACTATGCTTGAATACACCTGATATAGTAAAAATAAAACCAAAAAGTACTTGTCTCTCTTCCAATGTTATTTGAAATGATTGAAAACTATTGTTTCTAAACATGATTATCTTGAAACCATACAAAATTCTTGCCTTTCATATTGCCCAATGTAGACCAGCTGGAGCTCAAAATTTAATTCCTCCAGGTGATGACCAAGAGGACAGTCTTCAAGAAAAATTATATATGATAAGGGTAAACAATGAGCTGCAGAATAAACCGATGAGCTGTGCAAATTTCAAATTCAATGATAAATCTAAGAAAATGAAAGCTGCAACTGGGCCATCAACTTCCACTATTTTGAATGTAAGCTTGCAAAGAAGAACTTGCAGACCTAAAAAAAGAAACAGGGCTCAGCCCTCGTAATTAAGGTTGGCATTCGGCAATGCCGACCTAAAAGTGTTTAAAGTCAGCAAAAATTTGTCAACCTTGTTTCTATGTTTTATGGTTACCACTTTGTGTCAAAATATTTTTACTGACCTGATGCCGACATCTGACAGTTTGAGGTTGGCTATTAATTGCTGACCTCATATTTCTTCCAAGGGTTGAGGTCTACATTTCCATTTATGCTCCCCCAATACTCCCCTTGAAGCAATACTCCAAAGTAGTTCTTTTGTCTATAAAATGAACCAAATCCATGAAAAGCCTTTAAGCCTTGTACATAAGGTAATAGTGTAATTAAAATGTATAATTAAAATTTTGGTATTTGAAATTAAATTAAATGAATGAATAAAAATGTTTATTTTTTTTTTATTTAGTGACTGAAATATGATATGATTTCTAAAGAAAAGACTGTATCCACTAAAGTAGACTTTCTTGTTAGACAATGTCTTTTCAATTTTATTGCTGTTATTTGCTGCGATGAGAAAATTAGCTTTGAACATTGTTTCTAACCAATACAAAAAAATATCAAAAATATAATACAAAAAAGATATAAATCTGACTTGGTGTATAAAGAAAGTTATGGCTGTTAAATTTTTTTCAATCGCATTTAATTGCCTAAAATTTATATAAAGATCAGAAAAACTAATTGATGCATATAAAATTAGTTCTTCATATTGTTTTCCTTTTAATTTATCTGTTTGATACTTGATTTTTTTTTCAATTATTTTTAAAAGAGTTTCTTTAGATTTAATAGTTGAATGTATAGATATTTATTCTTATGAAGCTGACAGGTCTATTTTAAGAAAAAAAGACTAGTCAGTCTTTTTACATCTTTACTTATATGAAACTTGCTTTGCTAAATTTATGTATTAAGTTTTTTTTTCAAATTTTTGGTTCAATTTTTTTTTCAATTTTAGATCCTCCGGCAAATTTGATTTTAAACTCAAAGAAAGTATACATAGATATAAAAGTATATACATAGATGCAGATATATGAAAGTGCGTAGATTCATATAAACTGGAAAAAATCCAGCATCAAAATGTAAATTGACATAATGTAAAAACTACTCTAGTTGCTTAAAATATCATCCATTCTAAAACTTATAAAGCAATGAATTTAAATGTTTACAAAGTTATGTTATCATGTTGGTAAAATATGGGTCAATTGTCAGATATTTCAAATAAATTTGTACTCCATTAAAACAGGTGCCACTCATGACTTAGTTCTTGATCTCAAAGAACATGATTATTAAAAATAAAGATTTAAAACTATCCATCTATAATTAAAAACTTTCTACAAAAAGAAAGATGTTTAGTAATATTATATATTTAATAATATTAATAGAAAATTTAATATTGCTTTAGAAGACAAATAAACTTTAAATACTGTAAAAAATATGAAAATAACTTGTAAATTTTAAATGATTCAAAAATGTTTCTTTGGGGAAAAAAATGTATGGTTTATAAAATGTTTTGCAATTTTATTGAAATTATTTTCTTTACGCTTATACAAATAAGCTTGGTGTTCTTTTATGAAATATTTTTGTATAAATTTTGTATAAATGCAAAGATGGCTAATATTATCAAATATATCATTCAGCAAGCAATGATTGATCAAAAGTCTGCTGACAAGTTTAAAAGTGAAGTTTTAAAACCAAAAGTATATTTGGAAGCTGGATCATATACGATTCTTGGTATCGGTGTTTTAATTTTATTGGTTGTAATTGCAGTTTTTTCTCGACGTTTTTATAAAAAGCGAAAAAATAATGAGTATAAAGAGGTAAATATTTTGATTTTTAATTAAAAAAATTTGATCTATAATATTTATAATTATATACATATATAATTTGTATACGTTTATAATTTTTTATAGTTATATACATATATAATTTTTTATAATTACATACATATATAATTTGCTGATATTTACTTGGCTCACCTTTACCTGATTATTATTAATCAAACTTGTTTTTTATGTTAATAAAAAATTATTTTAATTTTTTACTTTTTTCAATATTTTTTTCTAATTTGCATAAATTTTTTTTCTTCCTCTAAAATATTGCCGGTCTATTTGGGCACTTAAACTTGAATAAATACATAAAACTAAATAATAAATGACAAATAATGTTAATGTTAAAACTCAATTTCAAAGTTAATGATAAAATTTTTCAATGAAAAATTTACATTATTTTTTGCATAATTTTTTTTTTTTTTTTCAATATTTTTGAAAAAAAAACCAAGTACACTTTATTAAGCACTTGCTAACTTTATTAAGCACTTGCTAACTTTCAGTTAGTTAATTTAATAAAATTGTTATAAATTAATAACCTAATAAATTAATAACTAGAGCTAGAACCAGGTTTTTAAAGTTTAATTCCAGCCTCTTTACAGCCTCCATCCATTACACACTCTTGGCAAATTTTCTTACATCTGCCTTTTTTTACCTTGTCTAGAAGAAAAAATCGTGTTGTACAATCATGTTTGAGTTTTAGCAATTATTTTCACATCTCCTCCTCTGCCTCCTCTGCTCCATATCTTGATCTAATCATGTCTCCTAAATAATAAAAACATTGCAACACAACTTATCATCACATTCTATATCTATATCCTAAATTACGTTATTTGACAAACATTAAAGTGCATACTTTTTGGGGGAGTAAATTGATCTTACAGTTCGATTTTATTAATTATTCAGTACTAACTGAATTTATTGTTAAATTAATCCAAGTCAAGTTTAGGATTATGATGTTCACCTTGTTACTGGTAATTCGTTACAACCTGCTTCATGTCATAACTGAGTATCACTGACGTTTTTGGATTTAAATGCTCAAAATTTTTATTTTTCTTAATCTTATACTCAGGTTGCTAATTTTGTGATTCGTTTTCCGGACAACACGAATCGCCTAATCTGTGTTTTTTCTCTGCCCCTATCTTTTGCTCAGTTTCTTCTTGTTTTCTTTTTAGATGGTTTATGCTGTGATTTCGATAAAACTTTTATTCTTACTTCACACAGATTCACACTTCCTATTACTACCTTACGGCTGATTGGGCTTTAAGTGCTTTTTTTAATTTTTTAAATCAGGCCTAATTTTTTTAATCAGGCCTGATGTCTTTTTTCTGCTAAAAATTTGCAGCTCCTTTATAATCTCCTGGATTCAGGCAAGCACGGAAACTTTTATTTAAACGATGCAAAAAGGTTTCGTTTGGTTCAGATTTGGACTCAGAATTAAATTACTAAATCATGTATTTTATCTCAGAGGATTTTAGAGATAAAGGCGTGTCTAACATTCAATTTCTCATGGATCTGATCTTATTACCTATCCCAGTAATAAGGCAGAAATAATTGCAAAGAATTTTTATACTATTGATCTTCCTGGTTATATCTAAAGTGATTTATAGATGAAACAACTATATTATCTTGACAAAAAGTCTTTTGTTGCTTTCTTACTTTTCAATTCTCTTTAAATTTCTATTAATTAGTGTTTGCTTGCAGCCTTGTTGGGAATGAATTTTTATTTTTTTTTAAAAGAAAATAATTACAAGGTTCGAGCCTATGAAAATTTCTTACATTTTCCAAATGTAAGAAAGAAAATATTTAGATAAAAATAGTAAGTTATATATTTCTTGCATATTATTTTCGATGCTTTACACAGAAATAGGGAAAAAAAATATTTAAACATTCCTTTTTCACTTTAACTTTAAATAACTTCAATCTTAAAAAGCCTTTTTTTATAACTTTTTTTTTTTTTAACTTAAAAACAAAGTTTAAAAAAATAGTTTGTAAGCAATTAAGATTTTTTTTTTTTATTTATAAAAATTGTTTTTAAAAAACTTTTTTGAATGTATTTTAGCATTCACCTTGAAAGCAGTTGAATAGTGTTAAAATCAATAAAATATTTCAACAAGTGGCTCCCGCGAATTTAACTTTATAACCGGGGCCAAGTTTATAAGCCCAAAATTTGCATGGGTCCGGTTGATTAATACTTATATAAAATTTAAAACTTAGATAATTTTTAAATTTTTTTACTTTTTTTTTTAAATCTTTTTTTAGTTCAAGGATGCTGATTGCGTGTAAGTTAATCGTTAATCGTTGGTTAATCGTTTTAGTCTGTTGCTTTGATCATTTCAATCAATTCATCATTAATTTTTGTCAACTTAAATCGCTGTTTTACTTTTTCTTTTCTTTTTTCTTTTTAAAATAACTTGCAATTTTATATTTTTGTACAAGTTTCTAATTTTCAATAAGTTTTAAAACATTTTATATATTTTTAAAAGATTTTTATTCTATCTGAGTAATAATTTATATTCTTAGTTCTAAATCTATATTCTTAATATCTATATAAATATATATTTTTATATATTAAAAAGATTAAATATTAATTAATTCTTGATATTTAAAAAAGTATTTTTAAAGAAACCAACTTTTTTATGTTTAAACATTCACGCAGTAGTAGCCCGTTCTTAATATATGCATAAACCGCGCTATATTTTTGTATTTGCGACAGGTGGGGTGGGGTTAGTTGGCTATTCCTATAGCTAAAATGTATGCCTTTCATGGTCTACTTAAATACACGACCGGACTTGTTGCTTACAAGTCCGAAAAACAGTAGTTTAGTTTTTACGATTCAATTTCATATTGTTAATGATAAATACTAATATTATCCAAATATTAAAACAAGCAAATATATTTAAACTTGAGAAAAATATAAAATATATAGGCAAAACAAATACAGTTATGGAAAAACTTATCAAAAAAATAAAATACTTTTAATAAAAAATACATAAGCAAAACTTGTCCACCATAAAATTTTTAGAAAAAGATTACAGCAATAGATAAGCAAATCAAAACAAAAATTAAATTATGCAGAATCCTAACAAAAGTGCATCTATAGAAAACAATAAAAATGATAAAATAAGTTTATTTTTTGTTTTGTCAATTTTTAAAGGCTTCTGCTTCATCTTTTCGAATTCTTCCATTTTGAATTGATTGTTCATTATAAAATATGTTAACAATTGTGTGTGTATTGTTGTATTGCACACAATTGTATTGCACACAATTGTTATTAACATATTGTCTTCCTGTTTCTAAATGATCAGAACACATAAAAAAAATGTTATTTTTGAACAATTTAAGTGCAGCTAGAGCTGAAATTTTCAATTTATTGTTATATTTTAGTTAATAGTAATTCTTTTGTGATGTCAATATGCAAAATAAGAAGCAAACATATTCTTCCATGTTTTGACTAGATTTAGTTAAACCCTTTCCTTGAGAGCATTTTCGTATGAAGATATTTTGTTAGTTTGAAGGAGATCTTGACACAAAGAACATTTAACTTTAGTTTTTTTGTTATATACTCAACAACATGAATAACAACTTCCCTTAAATTTTCGCATAAATAATATTCTTCTATTTCATTTTGTAATAAAAGTAAAGCTGTTTCTAGCTCTTTTGCATCATTATTTACTGTTACTTCATTATTAGACCGTATATTCAATGCCAAAGTCTCTAATCTCATTAAAACCACTCTTATAACTGGAAAAAGCACTAGCCTTCCTACTTTCTGTTTATAATTGACATTTACACATCAGTAAATGTCCATTATAAATCAGAAAAATAATAGTGATTTCAAGCAAAAACGACGTTTACATCGAAACAGATGAATTAGTTATCTTAATAAATACGGTTCAGGAAATCTTTCAAGAAATTTTTCAAAAACAACAGAATGGCATTTTAAAACTTATAACTGAAAACCTAAAGTTTACAAATCAAAGAATTGACTTATTATTAAAAGAAGCAGATTTTCAAATGAAAAGAGCGAGTTGTTAGAAATGGAATGTTAAAAGCCGAATTTAAAATATTTTAAATTCCGCTTTTAACTTTTCCTTTTCTTAGAATTTTCCTTTTTTCCATTTTCCTTTTCTTAGAACTTGTATGTTAACGTATGAAAATCTCAGAAAAGATATCGAAGAAAGTTTAACGGTCACTCAAGACATTCAAGAAAAAAAATGATCCGGAAATATATATATATATATATATATATATATATATATATATATATATATATATATATATATATATATATATATATATATATATATATATATATATATATATATATATATATAAGCAGTATTGGCGGCGGAGAAAATTTAAAGTTAAGGCTGGAGGACAGATAGAGTAAATAATTTTCGGATTGATGGAATTACCAAAAATAAACTCGAAAATTGAAATAACACAAAAAAAAAAAATTTTTTAAATAATACTAAAGAAAGATTATTTTCAAAAAAAAGTTTATTTGAAGATAATCTTTCTTTAAGTAATATGAATATAGAAAGAGCTTCTGGAACGGATCTAGGGTTAGGTAACATTTGGCGGCCGCCTAAGGGTATGTCAAAGTACGTAAGTCCGGAGAGAAAGAGGGGGTCTGCAATTGGCGTTGATGTGATGGGGCAGTAGGTCAATTATAAAAGTATAGAGACACTAAATTTAAAAAAAAATGTTGGGTTTGTAGGTTAAAAGCGTAGGTAATTTTAGGGAGGTAGAGGGTACTCAAAAAAGCGTATAACAAAATAAGGAAGGGGGGTGGTATGTTGGCGAAAAAAAAGCGAATGTACTTTATTGACAACTCCTAAAGAGAAATATTATATTATATATATTAAAATGTAATTTAATTTATATTTTAAAATTCCATCGGGCATTTTTTATTACTCACGGTTACGGCGTTGCTGACGAATAACTTAACTACGATATATTTTTTTATTTTTATTGTTATTTAGGTGCCCCAAGAAGACCTAACGGTCTTGTCACAAAACACCGTGGAAGTATACTTAACTAGGAAGTTCACGCCTTCTTCCTTACCGTGACGCGAAAATAAGTCCAAGGCTCGTTTCGAACCTCGATCTCCTGCTTATAAAGCAAGAGCTCTAACCACTACGCCACGGCTGTACATATGCGCGGGAGTGCGTGGGAGTGTTATAAATTATGATTAGGTATAGTGGCTTTTTTAAATGAGTTTTGCCTAATCTAATCTTGGTATGAGGTGTGCATTTTAATCACTTTAATTAACGGAAGTTAAATTATGCCTAAAGTAGTATGGAACTAAATAGTCAATCCGCCTGATCTAGATATAAAAAGCTAGAAATTAATTGCGCAACTTGAAAAAATTGATAAACAAGCCAATAAATTGTATAAGGATTTTGCAGTTAGGATTGTAAAGTTCTTTTAGCGTCTAACTGAAATTTGTTATAATGTACGAATGATTTTAGAACAAAAGGATGTAATTTTATTAAATTAAATTTGTAAGAAGTTGCGTTATAAAGTAAATTCTTTATGTTTTCTGTATAAACAAAACCTGCATTCATCTTAAGCAAAGTTTCTGTTCAGAATCAAATCTCAAAAGCTCGAAATTAGATTAACTTGTACCCCATTCAAAAAGCTATTACGCAGCAAACATGTCCTATTGGGGCCCATATGGATTTGCCCAAGTGGGCCCTATGTGGGCTTTATATATGGGCTCAAAATGGGCCCCATGTGGACTGGCCCTAGAATACAAAATTTTGTATAACAGGGCTAGCCCACATGAAACCCATTTAAGGCCCTCATATGAAGTTAAAAAGGTGTTAAATTCCATCTTATTTTCTAAATTTAAATGCCATCCGATCGTGGGCGCGATGGTATGAGGTACTCCGCTATGCAATTAGCTGGAGAAGTATAAATTCGATACCGAACTTACTTTATGAAAACTCCTTTACGTTTCTCAAATGTAATTACGCCTCAAAGCTTTTCCCAGCCAGCAAGTTATATTGGGGCCCAACTGGGTAGCTTTATGGGGCCCAAATGAGTTGCCCACATCCCACCTAAGGAAAATTGTTGCTGGTGGGCAGCACATATGAGCTACATATAAAAGTGGGCATATAAAGTGGGCAGCACATATGAGCTACATATGTGGGACCCACATGGGTTCCGCTTTGTTGTTTATTTGAATTTTTTATAATATTCTGAATGATTATTTATTTATTTTTAAATTAGATACAAATAATTTAATAAGTATTCGTAAATATGTCACGGGAGTATTGCGCTTTATAGGTATTGTGGTTTATCCTCCTCCAACTAATTGCCATACGGAGGCCACATTAACCTAGGACCGCAGAGACAAGTTCATCAAATAAATAGCGTCATTACCTGCTGCAAGAGTAAAGTGAGTTTAGGAAGAACGAAGAATGTTAGAGTAAAAGACAGAAGAAGTCGTGTTAGAAAGATAGCATACAGAAAGCGGACAGGATTGCACACGATGTTAGAAGGTGCAATATGTTACTATACACATAATTGGCTTAAGCCAATTAATGTATGCTATATATATATATATAAATATATATATATATATATATATATATATATATATATATATATATATATATATATATATATATATATATATATATATATATATATAGCATACATTAATTGGCTTAAGCCAATTATGTGTATAGTAAAATATATTGCACCTTCTAACATCGTGTGCGTATATGTATATACGCACACGATGTTTTGATAATGTTATTTTATTTTTACATTATTATACCTATAATAATGATTTGTTTTTTTTTGGCTTTTAAAAACGTTTCTATTCTGTGTTATTGCAGTTTCACATATTAAATATTATTAACAAATGGAGGACAAAAAAGGAAAAAAAAGAAAACTTATTTTTGACTTTATTAAATGCATTGTTTGCCAGGAGGATGATCGTAAAAAAAAAGTATTTCTGTTTATTTGATTTAGATATTATTTCATATATCTACGTAAAAATATACGATAAAAATATACCTTTAAAAACACAATTGGGTGCATTTTAGATATGTTCTTTGAGTTGTTTTTAAAAGTGTCTCCTAGCAATTACTAAATTTATTTTCAGAACGAAAAACCAGTTTGCGTGACGCTTTGGAAAAACTAATGGTATGTTTAAGGCAAAGATACTCCTATCATGAACCAGAGGCAACAGATTGTTACCAAAAGTTATGAGAAATACCATGCGAAGAACTAAATGAAAAAGGTGTTACAGAATGTTACAAAAAGTTCACCCACCGAAAAAGTTTGCAACGTAATTCACTAAGCCAAGCACATGTTTTTATAATGTAACAAAAAGAGAAAAAAAAAAATTGTGTACATTTTACAAATTCATAAAACTACAGATAAAGCAACGAGTCATCTTCACTGAAGAAAATTTGTTGCTTTATTGTAAATAAAGTAAATAAAGCATCATAAACGGTTACCCAGCCAGCAAGTCATATTGGGCCCCATATATATATATATATATATATATATATATATATATATATATATATATATATATATATATATATATATATATATATATATATATATATATATATATATAT